AGCACCCCATTCTCCGCCACCCCACAGCAAAATCCCATCGTATACCCACAACGTCAATTGGTTCCCCTGATTATTTCTTGAGTATTTGGGTTGTAATAAATTGAGAGGTGTTACATAGATAGTTGTATAGACAAGCTATTGGAAGCAATTTGTTACAGATGGGTTAAAACACGGGAATAACTAATTTTATCTTACAGTATTTCATATGACAGGCACAGGTTTTGTATGTGATATATCATCAAGTTGTATATCCCAGGTTAAAAATCATTAGATAATTTACTACAAATAACTTACGTCCAGTATGTTCAACCTGGCATTGTCTTAACACTTGTAATATTAAGGACGAATTGTAATACCACACAACGGCGGCGGAACGTTTTTGAAAGTGGGAGGGGGGTGGCATTTCATGAGGTCCAATATGCGAGCGAAGCGAGCATCTAGACTGGGAGCCAGGGGGCCGCCAAGGGCCCCGGTGGGGGTCTACGGATATTTTACGAAGTTTAGTGAATTTTGTAAGTTATTTTATAGGCATCAAGCTACTATAATATGACTTTCATATTTGTTGTAATTTCCAGTGGCGGATCCAGGAATTCGAAATAGAAGAGCCCAGAGAGGGTGCTTTCACACTCAGCCCCACCATGGTTGGGGCTGAAGTAAGAAAATTTGTGATTATGGCACCTCTACATGGCCGGGAATTGCACTTGCAGACATAAAATTTTAAGATAATTATCTTTATACCTCCATTTTTTTTAAACAATTTTCTTTTCTATTCTTCTTCTTTCTTCATATGCTTCTTTCATATTTTCGTATAAATTTACTTTTTTATACTAAATACATATTTACGCATAATATTTTTATGTATATATATATATATAAATTTATATCATTTTAATACAGATTTACATATTTTAACTGTACTCTACAAATAGGTCTACTATACTTTTGCTTTATTTAAATATCAATTATTATCGTAAACATTAATGATTACATTATTTCATATAGTATTTTAAATAAATGTATAAACAATTTTAAATATTTAAAATTATATAAACTATGAAAGTAAATACACGTAGATTAGATCAATAACAAAAGTGGACATAGTAGTAATCCTGTCTCTTATACACATCTAGATGTCTGTTCGAAGCACAAACAACCCCACCCCTCCATATGCCTTATGCCATATATATAAAGATCAACCAACATACGGAATCGCACATGACATGATATATCTGTTATTATAGCTATTTAATGTTTGATTTACAGTATGTAAATGTGCTGTCGTACAATAAAGAAGGATATTCGCTTACGGCGCATAATTATAATCATAATATTATCATAACAAAGTCGGGTTCTAGGAAAACTGTTATTGGTATGCCGATGCCAAAACACTAACTTCTGTTTATATTGTTTAGTGAGCAACTGTAAATAGACATAGGCCTATGTTATGTGTATACCTTCATGATTGTTAAATAACGCGTCCTGATATGTCAGTTATTATGTTTGTAATTAATTTGATTGACACTGTTGATAATGAGCCAATCGTAATGAATGGTTTTTAAGTGATTTTGAAAAAGCGAATGATTTTTCAACAATCTTGAATGAAGATAAACAAATTTTTAATCACTTGAAACCTGCAAAAATAAAAAAAAAACAAAAAACCATATAATAAAAATTCATAGAAAACATCGTGTATCTAAATATTATCAATATATATTGAGATTAATTATAAATAAATAATTAGTGAAATTATGAATATTATATAATATAACAGATCAATATATATCCCTTCTTATATAGGCATATATAACAATAACAATAATAATATTAATATTATTATTATTATTATTAACAATAATAATGATAATGATGATGACGATGACGACGACGACGACATTGCAGCATTCGTAAAATGTTTGTCGTTGGTGCTGGGAACAGTCACTAAAGTGGGTGGGCCAATGGCCCCCTGCCCCCTCTTCCGCCGCCGTTGATACCACATAGGCCTATGACCTTTTCAAAAATATCTAGATATATTGTCATTTTCTGCAATGTAAATGAGCTCTAGGCGTCTGGTTATTATATAAATGTTTTTCTTGATTTATGAGAAAAGATAATTCTGTTGACTTTGCATGGTTACTGTGAATAAAAATGATTTACCTTTAGCATAAATTTCTATATTATATAATATTATTTTATATTTTATTAATGAAATTGACAAAAAAAACCTTAAAAGAATTACAGACCTAATTATTTATTTGAAAAGACAATAAAATTTCATTCATTTCAAACATTTTTCATAAATCCTATACTAATTTATATATTACTAAAATTGAGGTGTTCATTATATACTTATTTTATGAAAAATTATGAAATTTTAATTTGCATAGCAACGGTTGCTATGGTGATGACCTTGTATATTTTTACACCATTAAATTCACTTTTTTTCTATAAAAGCTGTTTATCGTATAAAAAATACTGTATAAGCCAATCTAATAATATTTTACTTCAGACAAATATTAACAGCAATTATGTGAATTTCATTCGTTGTTATGGAGTTATAAAAGTTCTGTAGCACTTCAATAAAGGTGTTTCTTGATTTTATTTTCTTAAATATTGCTCTTCTATAATGCATAACTTTAATACAAAAATATTCATAAACCTATGACAATGATGATTAAAATAAGCTTTAAGCATCCCTTATACTGTACTTAAATTTCATGAAATAAAATAGGAAGCTTAAATTTGCATAGCAACAGTTGCTATGGTGATGACCTTGTATTTTATACAATAAGAGATGTTTATTATATAAAAATATTGTATCTCATGATTTTCGCTTGTTCAATGACAAATGTACGGCAATTCTGCTGATTTTGCTTCGTTGCTAGGGACGATAAAAAGAGTGTTGCTATGCAATTATATCAAAGGTTTCAGGATTTTTTACATAATAATCTATTCTATGATAATAATAGATAACTCAGATGTTAACAATATTCATAAAACCTATGAAAATGAAGATTATAATAAACTTTAAGCTTCCTGTATACTTAAATTTCATGAACAAAATAGGAAATTTAATTTGCATTGCAACGGTTGCTATGGTGATTGAAATTATAGTTTTTCTTAACGCAAAATTCATTTTCGATGATTTACGAATATTTTGAGTAAGTTTTACCAATTGTTGAGAATTATTATTCGAGTAATGTTATTTTTTATATAATTTAGCTAAAACTATAATTTAAAGGGGGAAATTGGCGGCCATTTTGAATGCGTAATTTGGAGGTGTTCCCCCAAAGCGGTTTTGGGTAATTTTGAGTTCTGAACCTCTCAAGACCTATATTTTCAGAAAATATCAAAATTAGCCGGTAGTACTTCCACTGCCACCTCCACCCCGAAACAGCCTCTAATCTGCTCGCCTATTTGTTGTGTTATGTTGCCGGTAGTACACTCGAGCGGTACAAGTGGGGGCGCCCTTTGAACATATACCAACCCATGCAAAAAGCGGACAAGATAACTCGCACTTGGCATAGTTAGTAAAAAGTTCTATCACAGTGCCATCGACAAATATACTCGCCCCCTAATATTTTCCCGCCAATTTATTAGACACTTCATTTGACTAGATAAAATTTCAAAAAAGTATGTTTGTACATGTAAACTTGTTTTGGCACACAGGAAGGAACCGTAAAAAAAAAGTCTGGCAGTCAACGTGTTAATAAGTAATTCAATGTATTAGTGTTGTTTTACATTTTAACACAGATATTATCAATAATTAGCAATTAGTATACTTGTATTTCATACACTAGAGTAAAACTATTACACAAGATAATGTATTAAGCAAACACTAAATAATCCTTCATACACTAATTTTTTTTTAAAATGTATGAAATATGACTAATAATTGCTTATTATTTCAAACAATATTATTAGATAAAATATAAAATTAGCCGGTAGTACTTCCACTGCCATCTCCACCCCGAAACAGCCTCTAATCTGCTCGCCTACTCGAGCGGTACAAGTGGGGGCGCCCTTTGAACATATACCAACCCATGCAAAAAGCGGACAAGATAACTCGCACTTGGCATAGTTAGTACAAAGTTCCATCACAGTGCCATCGACAAATATACTCGCCCCCTAATATTTTCCCGCCAATTTATTAGACACTTCATTTGACTAGATAAAATTTCAAAAAAGTATGTTTGTACATGTAAACTTGTTTTGGCACACAGGAAGGAACCGTAAAAAAAAGTCTGGCAGTCAACGTGTTAATAAGTAATTCAATGTACTAGTGTTGTTTTACATTTTAACACAGATATTATCAATAATTAGCAATTAGTATACTTGTATTTCATACACTAGAGTAAAACTATTACACAAGATAATGTATTAAGCAAACACTAAATAATCCTTCATACACTAATTTTTTTTTTTTAAATGTATGAAATATGACTAATAATTGCTTATTATTTCAAACAATATTATTAGATAGGCCTATGCAGTTTAACATATTATATATTGTGGTAGAATTTTGTTATTATTAAACCTAGTACACAATGTATTAAGCAAACACTAATCAGGGGCGGATCCAGAGATGTCCAAAAGGGGGTGCCGAAATTTGGGCCGATCGAGACAACAATGCCCCAGGGGGTCCGGGGACATGTCCCCGCGAAAATTTTGTGTTCTAGACGCCTGAAAATAACATTTGAGGCGTTGTGGGTTATCATTTTTTTTCTTTTGCTTTCTTTTTTCCTTTTTTTTCACCTTCCAAAAGGGGGGAGGGGGCCTGGGGCCGAGCCGGCCCCCACTAAATCCGCCCCTGCTAATTGATTCTTTATGCACTATTTTTTTCCAATGTATGAAATATGACTATACTAATTGCTCATTATTTCAAACAATAGTATGAGATAGGCCTACACATTTTAACATAATTATGTTATTAAATATATTATGATCTATGTGGTAGAACTTTATAATTATAAAGCTATTAGCCAAAAAAACGCAGTCAGAAATTGATAATTGACACATTAATTTTATTTTCATGGGGTCTTATTTTACAGTACAATCTTCTAATTATTCCTGGATTATTGTTAATTTTGGTTTTGAACCTTCTCATTTATCCACTTTATGACTTGTCAAACTATCCTTCATGATGTGCAAATGAGTAGGTAAAACAATTTACATACAACCATGGAACAATAAACAAATTTATACATATAATCTTTCAGTTAAACGAATCCATACCGCCAGGATTGCATGATTCAAATAGAGGGCGCTGTTAACAAAACATTACAAATATTTTCGTCCTAAAACATGTTTCATGTAAAGACAAATCAATTATATTCTAATACTTAAAAATTGCATTGCATGTAGCATACTTAATTTATTTTATTCTATTGTTATTTTCTAATGTTCTATCTATTTCAGTGACATTTTAAGTATAAATTTGTATCTAAAGATGTTAGTTGCAAAAATTTACCCATTTGGAATAATTGTAAGCCTAAGGCCATCTGATAACAGGTGCACCCTAAACAATTGTCCAATACTAAATGAAAAAAAAAATACTAAGAAAGGCAATTGCATGATCGTATGAAAAATAATCTGCAAAATTCAAGTGTGCCTGGTTTAAGGCAGACATTTAGGTAAAATATTTTTTAGTGAAAACTGTAATGAGTATCGCTTTGCTCAGATCACTCTTGTATTCTGCTTCTTCACTTAGTTCCACACGTGGTTCTTACAGTGGACAACAGCCTGAGAAAAAAATAAAACAAATTTAAAATAAAATTCTGCTCTAAAGAAATTCAGTCCTATTAAGGGGACATCCCTCTTAAGGGGACACATTTTTTGGCCACGAAATGAGGGAAAGTATATCCTTCAACACCACAGTCAACCAGAGGACACCAGGGCGGATCCAGAGAAATCCGAAAGCGTGGCTGATCGAGATAACAGAATCCCCATGAATTTTTTTGTATGCCAAGAATTAGCTAATTGATGCAAGTAATGCAAAATGGCAAAAAAAAGAACACATAACCTTATCATATAACATGATGCTCTGATAAGATTTTATAATACATACTCCAAGTATTGAAATGCACGCCATCATGTTGGGATTCAATATTTTGACAATAATTATGTCATCATCATACAATGATGCTCTGTGTATGCATTATTCTGTTCAGTGGTTACTTACATTGCATTTCTGTGCATTCTCCATGCTGTCGCACCAGTAGGCAGGACCGAAAGTACATTCATTCTCTCCCAGCATCTTATTGCTAGATTGACAAAGCTTCAATTTCTATAGAAATTTAAAAAAAACAAAAAAAAAATAAATTGTACCCTAATTTTTACTACTATTTTTACTACTATGTACACGTTTATACTTTATTATCAATTGTCTCATGGAAGTCAGTGCCGATGGATATTACCATGGACACCAAAATAGAAACGTTAAAAAAATTTATTTTTAACCATATCTCCCAGATATCTTTCAAAATTTGACCCCTGTATTCATATTCTCCACATTACTTAAAAGAATTAAAATGACAGGCCATTTACTGGAATTGACTTACTATTGCAAAGTTACGCATAAGTTACATGTAAAAGTATTACAGCTTCTCCGTACTAATTACTCAGTTAACCACTTAACAACAATAAGCTAGTTTTGGGATGGTAAGACTCAAATAGTCTCTTTTACCCACTCACATGGATGCACGATTTTACTAATTATGTAATAAATTAATTACTAGCATTCTAAAGCTACGTTCGGCTTAACTTTGCCGGGCGTTCAGACTAGCGGGATTAGCTAGGCGCGGGGATTTGCATATTAATGAACCGTAACCAGGAAACGAGTTTCAAAACATTGCGCTCAAAACGTACACTCACTCACAGAACACGCAATTGAATGCTGATTGGTCATTTTTTTTATCAGAAGTCAATGCAAGACCCTCCCCGATTTTTAACCATATCTCCCAGATATCTATCAAAATTGGACCCCTGTATTCATATTCTCCACATTACTTATAAGAATTAAAATGACAGGCCATTTACTGGAATTGACTTACTATTGCAAAGTTACGCATAAGTTACATGTAAAAGTATTACAGCTTCTCCGTACTAATTACTCAGTTAACCACTTAACAACAATAAGCTAGTTTTGGGATGGTAAGACTCAAATAGTCTCTTTTACCCACTCACATGGATGCACGATTTTACTAATTATGTAATAAATTAATTACTAGCATTCTAAAGCTACGTTCGGCTTAACTTTGCCGGGCGTTCAGACTAGCGGGATTAGCTAGGCGCGGGGATTTGCATATTAATGAACCGTAACCAGGAAACGAGTTTCAAAACATTGCGCTCAAAACGTACACTCACTCACAGAACACGCAATTGAATGCTGATTGGTCATTTTTTTTATCAGAAGTCAATGCAAGACCCTCCCCGCAGCGATTAAATCCCGGCTTAGAAAAGTTAAACACGGTGGCACGCCAGACCTAGTTACTATAGGAACACAGCCTGGCTTGAGATAAGCCACCTTGTTCAGACTGGCACGTGGATAAACCAGGTGAGTTGAGCCGAGTTTATCCACCTAGTCTGAACTAGGCCTAAATGTATTACCTGACAGACTTTAGTAGGATTAACTAACTGGGCCAACACCTCAGGAATAACCGCACCATACTTTAGTACAAGGCTCTCGCACTGCAAGTGAAAAAAAACAACACATTTTTAATAGTCAAAAAACAAACAATGGTAAAGCTGCATATATATTCGATCCGAATCAAAATATATTTGATATGCGCCCTCCTCATGCCCCTGACAACATGAACGAGGGCGAATATCAATTGACACACATGAACCTTGACAAGGACACGAAGCAATTGCTAAACATGTACAAACTTCTTTTGAGTCCAGATGTAAGATAGCAGATAACTTTATTGTCCGAAAGGAAATTACATTTGGATAGTACATCGCATGAAAAATTTTAGAAAGTCAAACATATAAATATAAATGAAGTGTTAGATATAAATTCCGGCATAAAAGTCTACAGTACAATATATACGACAAAACATTACATAAAGATAATGCGTTTAAACCAACTAGCCATTAAAGATTCTAAATGAATATGGAACAAAAGATTTTAGGAACGGACTCATTCTGCAGTTGCAGGGGTGGGGAGCAATCTATTTCATACGTTGGTGGTGCCTGTCACAAAACTACTGGACTGAAGGAAGTAGCAACAACCAAGCCACAATCGTGCAGACAATGCTAACTGGTAGTTAGCGAAACTTACTTCGCAAATTAGTTCCCAGATCATATATAATCATCAGAAACATAATAACAAAATAAACCTAGCTCAATTCTGGCAGATTGTCAAAAAACATGTATATAGGTTATGTAATTAGTGCAGGTATACAAAAGCATTAACAATCAAAAGTTAACAGATAAAAATAAATGTTAACAGACACAAATAAAAAAAAATAAAAAAAATTCATCAAAATCTAATTTCCCCGTATTCAAAATTGCGTTTATTCATACCAACATTTTAGTACCTTTATTGCAGTAGTAAATCGTGTTACTGACGATCCGCAGAAAAGACAAAAATGATTTTAAAAAGCTAAAATTTGTATGCCACTCGTATAAGACGATCAAAATAACTTTAATAAAGTTATTTTTTTTTTCAAATTAAAAAAAAAACAGTGAGTGAATTTATATTTATTTTTTGCCAGATGCCCTACACAGACTAAAGTCGTTGTCTAAAGTTGTTGTCTAATGTAAGATACGCCATTCAAGGCCTATATGGGTTATTTTTATTCCATCTGAAGAGTATTTTAAAAAATAACTAAATAAATAAAAAAAATAAATTTTTCCACCCGACCCTATTTATCATTTTTTAAAAAAGAAAGGCAAACAAACAATTAATTTTTTTGGCCTCATAATTTGATATTTTAATCATCGTCTTATACGAAAGTATATACGGTATTATTATAGTCACGAGTTGTCATCGCTGTCGCCAATGCCAATATTATCGTTGACAACATGATAGTAATTATCAGTTTCATACACAAAATATTACAACTTTACCTTGGTTTTGTAATCACCATTAAAGGCACCACACACTTTGCTCAATACGTTGATCACTTGCTGGATGGTGGCTTTGTCTTCTAATTCCTTGTCAGCATACATCACAACCACTTTACATAAGTCACAGGTCTCCTCGCTGCTTACTGTAGGCAACAGAATAATTGTAAATGTAAATTCAAGTTTGAAGAAATCAAGTCTAACAAGCTATCAAATTTCCTTTGAAAAAAAGGCTGCTGTATGTAATGTGCTTGTATAAACTTTTCACTTACATGGTAGGTCTAATCATTGAGGCCTTGTTTCCGCAGCACTTAAAATTTCTCTGATAATTTCTCTGATAAGTTATCTTATAAAATTCCCTCCAAATATTTTATCATTATGCAATATTATGGACAACAATGCAATGTGTTCAACACATTGCAACACCAACACATCCATTTTTGTTGACCTAGCAGGTGACCTTTTTTTTTGTGCGAGATGAATAGGACTAGGCCAAGAACGAAATCATACAGCACTATTTTTCTCTGGGAAATGTACTGTTGCAACGATGTTTCATTGTATTTGCTAACAGTGTTTAATGTTCTTTACGTTACAATAAACGATAGGTATGTATAGCCCAAGCCCAGCCAGGCATTGTCAATTTTTTTATATTTAATAAGTATGAAAAATTTACTCACTTTTTATTATGAATTGTTTTCTTAGGTCTAGGCCTGCTAGTTGCCTTTGGCCTAAAAACTACAGAAAACTACCCAAAAGAATTCTTTGCATCCGTGAATTGACATCGGTCAAAGGTTATTTATTTTTGAATTCGGAGCTTTTTCGGATAAATTATCTGATTCTCATACAAATATTTATCAGAAACCTCCTCCACAGCAAAATATAACAAAATGGCCGCTTTCCAATAATTTATCAGATAGTAAGTGCTGTGGAAACACGGCCAAATAAAATGTGAACAAATACAGTAAAGATGAGGTAGGGTTTTGCACTAGATTTGTTGGGGTCAAACTGACCAGGTACACCAAAGAAAATGCAATTTGAAGAGGGATTAAAAAGAGAGAAACTACAGTATATTTATTTTAATCATGAAGATTCATACATAGTGGTTTCTGAATAAAATAAAGTTTTAAAACTTACACACTATAGAACTTTTCACTCGGAGCGCTTTTACCGAACCAGCCGGCGTCTTCAGTGTTTTTAGTTACCGTATATCTATTTTGTATTTAAATGAGGAACAACGAAAGAAATATAGTCCTGCAAATATCATACCTGTAATATGTTTGATGGTATCTGTACAAAGTGTTAAGGCTGTACAGATAGCGGATGGGTCCAGCTCCAATAAAAGCAGCTCAATGATTGCATCACCATACTTGTGAACAAAAACGACGCAATCGGCAGAGATTGTACTTGGAAGCATGTTGCATACTTGTTCAAGTGCTTTGATGATCTCTTCCTGTAATATTCAGAAAAGATAAAACATTTCTTAAAACCCAATTCGTATTTGTCTACTTTCTAAAGTTAAAACAGTAAAATATTAGATAGGATTTTTTTATTTATTCAATGTGAACACCAAGGCTATACCAATGAAAGTCTTTTTAATCTTATTTCATGCCAGGTTCTTCTGGTGGTGATAGGGCAGTACACCATGACACTATCCCTACTATTATTTTAAGAGTGTAACTGCGTTCTGTAACAGACACATGGGTCATATTGCACAATGGACCAATGGCATAAAGATTTCTATCGAAAAATGGTGCGTTTGTTTATACTCGCTTTTCAGCCCTCAAGCTGGAACACAAGTAGAGCAGCGGATAGAAAAGAACCGGACACCAAAGGATCTTTTTGGGATGACGATATATAGAAATACGAGATCTTTACCATTGCTATCAATTACATCTAAATATATTTGCTATAATTGTGGGCTAAAAATGAGTTCTCACCTCTGTGGAATTCTTCTTCAGGTAGTTATCAAGTTCTTTCAAGATAAATTCGCAGATTAAACATCCACCAGATGTTGACAACTTCATTTGATCTACAAAAGGTTGACAAAGTCAATGTTACAAACAATAATAATAATAATAACAACAATATAACAAAAATGATGATGATGATATGATGGGCATACAACAGAGTTTTTTCAAAGAAAATATTGGACAAAGCCTCAGGTGGGGGGGGGGTGGGGTTCCCTAATATATGGAATAGTGACTCACCACTTGGTTGATTTTGATGGTGATAAACAAACCAGCATTTTGCTGCTGTATTTTTTAAATTATTTTTACTATAATCATCATCAGTATCAGTATATAAACTAAAAATAACTAATTCGTAGATAGGTTGTGTAGCAGAAACAGCAGTGAAAGTATTAGAAAATAACTTACCGTTTGCTCCACACAATTGAAGGGCAGCGCAAATGGCGTCTGGGGGCATTGACTTCAAGAGCTCAAAGATCAAAGGTCCATAGGTCGCGATGAAGTTATTGCAATCATCTTGAATGCTGGTTGGAAGTAGAGAGCACACTTTATCCAGGGCATCCAAGATCTCTTGCTGTTATCATAAACAAATTATTTCAAAGTTAACTTGATATCTTTGCTATTTGCAAAGCAATTTACAAGCTGATTGACATAATAATGGAACAAACATTCTATTTATTCATTTCACAACACAATAACATGACGTTTAAGAAGTAGTGCCATACACAATTTAAAGTCACATGTCAATCTTTTACTTCAGCATGACATGCAGCATCGAACTTAAAATAACTACTTCTTAGGCCCAATAAAGAAAATGATTACAAAGCTTGCCTAATAGTAGTTGTGCATGTGAATAATAGAACTAGAACAATTATATACTGTACCTCATACATAGATTCTAGGCATCTGATTGGTCAAGAAGCGTGCAATAGAAAGTACTATTCCCAGAAAAATTGTAATTTTTTGCCCTGTCGCATGATGCGCAAACTCTAAGCCCCGCTTAATATTGCGCTGACCGTAAAGGGGACTGCAACCTCTACGACAAAAAAGATTGCCCTCGACTGCGCCACGGATCAGAGAGTAGGCAAAAAAAACAATGGAGACTTGTCGGTAAGAGCTCCTGGATGAAGAAGGACTAGCCTAGATCTAGCATTACTTCTTGATAAAGCTGAATGCAAAAGAACCAAAGGACAAATTAAATATGTCTTTTCAATATTCAACAGATATTGCAAGACGATGGGTGCTGTTGAAATTGAGGAAATGAGTGAGAGCTAGATATATTCTTTGAACGCTTAGACTAGTAGACCTCTAGCTAGCCTAGGCTAGGAAGCAAGTATCTTTTTTAGGCCTTGTAGAATCTATGTATGAGGTATATAAAACAAATATTCACTGCTCTAGATGCGAAGAACGGTGATGTGGAGACCTTGACTACCCGATAGGCTACGGTATTAGCATCACCTCGGGGCAGTAGATATTTGTTAAAGTATGAACAATAATGCAGTATATAGTGTAAATATATATATATATACCATATAATATATAATATATGAGGCATGCCATTCCAAAACCAGCGTACTGTCGCTATATTTTAAACTAAAAACTTAGCAAAAGAATGTGGTATTATTGTATTATATTATATTGTATTATTATAGTTTCCAGTAATTGAACCATCATTTTAAAGCTTATAATTTGGAGAATATCAATATATTAAATAGTCAATTATATCACACATCTAACTTCCACAATACACAGCATTGCTCACTGTAACTTTCCCTAATTCCTTTAATTATTAGTTATTTAAAATCTAATGTGAAAAGCTAATCAGTAACTACCTCAGTGGAATTTTTCGTCAGCAGTGATTCAAGTTCTTTCATCACAAATTCGCAGAGGACACACTCAATAGATTCGTCAACCTTCTTCTCCACTACAGGTACAGCTACGGATACAGAACATTTTAAGCCAGTTGTTTATTACAGAGATTACAATATTGTTATTGTTAGCACAAGTTACCCACCAATTAAAGACCCCTCCAATTATAGACCAGTTTTCTGTGGTCCCAAATTAATGTCATATTATTCTAATTACAGAGCAAAGTTGCTAAAAGTGGTCTGTAATTGGACGGAGACCTTTATTTATCAACAATAAGCTCAACAAAGAATTATTTGATGAGCTGACTATAATTGCATAATATTACATTTTTAAATATTATTATTATTATTATTATTATTATTATTCGTTGGGGCGAATTAATATAGTCTATAATAATAACAATAATAATAATGATAATAATAATAATAATAATAAATTTTATTATTATTATTATTATTATTATTATTATTATTATTATTATTATTATTATCATCATCATTATTATTATTGTTATTATTATTATATTACTATATTAATTCTCCCCAACCATTACAAGAAAGTAAACATTATACAATGTTGCCAAGTCATAATGTTTCCTAAGACCAAAAATGTATTACATAAACTTTTCAAAAATACCTTTTCCTGTGCACAGGCCTAGTGCAGTACACACCTGGTCAGGTTGAAGGTACTTCAAAAGTGATAATATATCTGGGGCGTACTTGTCAACAAAGTCATTGCAGTCATCTTGTATGGTGGCGGGCAGAAGTGAACAAACCTTTTCCAGGGCATTCAGAATTTCTTGCTACAAATGAATGAAAGAATATTACTGTAGTACAAGTTGATAAACCTAGTGTTTTGAGGATCCCTGCATAATTATTGAAACAGCACATTTATGTAATATTTTGATTATCTTTTCCACTGGTTCCTCAATGAATGGCATATTCACTTTTTAACATGTTTATGCCATGTTTAACCCTGATTTTGTCCAATTTTTCTGTCTAAGTGTTTTCAAATATTATGTTTAAAACCAATGTATAGACATATATTAGCATTTTTATGGCAGTGGCTACGATTACGACAATGCATGCATATTTGCCTATTTGCCAACTGTACCTGTTTCGTGATGCTAGTCATACATAGGAAATAAACAGTGGTGAGAATTTCAAAATTCAATGAAGAATGAAGGTCAGACCATGGCAGTATAAACAAAACTTACTAAACTATAAACATTTGCACTATTTATCAATTAATAACTGGCCATTGTGTGTGCGCTGAACAGTGGAGATCTGTATGTCCCCGGTTCAATTCCCATCGCTGCCTCTCCTTGTATTTCAGCTGGAGGGTTGAAATACAAGTTGCAATAGCGCACTGTCTTTTGGATGAGACGTTTAAGCCGTTGGTCCATGTGCATTTATGTCCCATGTGCACGTTAAAGAACGCAGTACACTCTTCGGAAGAGAGCAGGGGATCCTTTGTCTCCCGGTGTACTGTCCAATCACCACCAGAAGGACCCCACTGGAAATAAGTCTTCTTCTAGACTTTCGTGGGCTATCCTGGGTGTTTATAACGAATAAATCCAATCCAATCCTACTCTATACTACACTACTACTAGTGCTACAACTGTAGTTTAGACCCACACTAGCCTACTGTCTGTAGCCTGACGCACATTACTCTAGCCTAGCCTTACGTGCTTGCCTAAACATACACAGTAACACAGACAGCACACACGTCACTAGTAACTGAACTTTGGACAGGAAAATTGGTGGAAAGGATGGATTGATTGTAGCACTACTAGTATATATAGTAGGCCAGTTATTAATTGAACGTCGTACGTTGTAATCGCAGCCTGTGAATATGATTACAACTTATCGTAAACATAACCACTGCCTATTTTTGTAGCTTCTCCGTGCAATATACCTAAAGTATAAAGCCAAGAACACTGTGTCAAACGTTGGTCATACAACCTTCGGCTGCATAACCCATCTCAATTGTCTGTAAGCACTTGAGGAAGCGATGCCGTCTACCAACTGTTGGTGGCAATCTGAACAGATTGTCATTAAAAACGATCTGTTGCCCGCCCTGTGGTGCTTCGTTTTTTCATGGAAATGCATTGGCGTGTGCGCCAGGCTAAATTGACATTGATACTCAAAATTATTTCAGGAGATGTCACCGATACTGAGTTTTGTCACCGAAAGCTTTTTAAAGCGATTTTATAGAAACAACCTTAAGAAGGAACACAATAATTTAGAAGGCTAAATCGCCATATCTATTCTGAATTAAAACTAGAATACAGCCACTTACGTCTGTTGAGTTGTCAGAGATAAGCGATTTTATTTCCGTCATTACAAACTCACAAAGAGTACACTCAGTGGAGGCAGACAACTTATTTTCTGAAACAAGAACAATAAACAAGTGGATATAATTTTTAATTAAAACATTATTATACTAAATAAACTTAAACGAGTATGTAAAGTAAAATTCAGTTCACAAAAGGCAATACATAATGATTTGTGGTAAACCACTGTTAAAATTGGATTATAAATATCACATTAATAACCGTTAAGAGCTCAGTCTATTATTAAGAGGAGGGGGGTTATGAGTTTCATGACACTGCTACAACCACGTGCTACTGTATGTTCTCTTGGAAGTCGGAAGGTCAAAGGTTCCATACAGCTATGGTCATAAGCTGTTTCATTGTAAAAGGTGAAAGGGTGTTAGGAGTTTTATTACACTGCTACGTGATGTGAGATATTGCAAAATAAAATGTGAGGTCTCCACCACAAAATGAGAAGCAATAGGCACGTTCACATAAGTTATTGTGATAAAGTTTCTTGATCTATTCATCATGGTAACTTCAGCATGTTAGATAAAACCATTCATATAGAAACCATCATCATGATCTACTGTATTTATGCTAATGTGTGCAGTATTGCATGAAAACTACCAGAAGCACAACCAATAAGGTTGGGGACCTGTTATACAAACTGAAGGCTGATTGGTTGAATTTGATCTCATGAATTAATTTATCATGTTAACCAAGGTTTAATCATGATGCATCAACATGCTCCACTAGATCACAATATAAGGTGATTATAAGCCGAGCAAATTATTTGATTCTGGTAAGTTCACATAAAATGACTGGCTTGATCATAAATCCCCTGGATCATGATAAACTCTGAATATGATGCTATTGTAGCTAATGGGACAGGAAAGCAAGCATCTTAGCCACCAAGTTACCTTATTTTGTGTTTATGTCATCGTGCAAGGTTAAATGGGTTGAGGGTTTAATTTACACTGCAATGCACATGACATGTGCATACCAGTGAGTCTCATATCCATTACTGAATGTAAGGGAATGAGTTGTTGGTCCATCGTACAGAGCCTTGGCATTGTGTCGGTAGGGTGGTCAGTTCCTTTCCACCCCACATTTTTAACCTCTTCAGTATACTTCAACCACATACCCACTTATACTCCTTGGTGGGGAGGGCCAATCGTAGGTAAGGTGTCTTGTCCAAGAACACAAGCGAAATACACAACAAAGCTTAGCCTGGGTTCCAGGCTCTAATTTTGGGTTACTCACCTTTTATTGCACTTATTGCGCGCCATACCTAATTTATTTGGCGTCTCATACTCGATTTATTTTTTTATTTTTTTTTTTCGGATTAGGGCCTGGCCAAACGCTGTCTGATCATTCATGCGTATTTAACACATCAAATTCGATGTGTGATATCATATGCAAGACTGCCTTTGTAAGTCACGTGATTGGCTTATGGCTTACCTCTTAGTCTTACATATTAATTAATCTTTGTAATTTTCAAATTGAAGATGTGCAGTGTCTTGACAGCTAAGTTAGGCAGCTACCTTTTGCGTACCTACTTAAATTAATTTAGTTAGTAAATTAGTTCTTGGCCTGCTGAGCGATGTAATGGAATGATAACCATTGTAACTTACAGATAACAATGCTCACCACTAAGCTACACAGATTTAGGTTGCATACTGCGGAGCATTGTTAAAAAGGTACTGTATTATTAAGTAAGAACTTAAAAGTGGGCCCACCAGGCCCCTTTCTACTACTACTACCAGTGTCAGACTCTAGAGGCCTAGTAGGCTATTCTCCCGGAAAGCTGTGCTGTACGTTGTAATATGGGCCATCTAGCCTAAGCTTATCGTCTTTGCCATTGCCTACTCATCCTAGAGTCTATTCTATTAGGTCCTTTCTATTTGGGGAGACTATTTTTAGCCATGCCTAACTAGTTGACGCGAGACGTGACTCAGTTTCTGTACACGATCATTGCTTTGAAAATGTGAGCATAGTGATTGGTTGATATCATTTATGTCGCTCCGCACATTTATCCAAATACAGAATTATACATTATTTTTGCATCCGGGTACCTGCATGCAGTGTTTTTAACACAAGTCCCTTATTCTGTCTCAAAATTAACTTGCTCATTGGTGGCGCTGTCCAGAATGGAAAAAAAATAATAAGGAACTTTTGACAAGTCTAAACAAAGGTTTAAATCCCGACCTTGAGGCTGAAAAGACCAAAATACAACCATTGCGCCAACCGCTTTCACTACTTGTGTAGTGCAAGGCATCTTCGTTATGGGTTGCCTGATAAGATATGAATGTTACACATACCTTTGCCAGTGCAAAGATTGAGCTTCATACAGATTTCGTCGGGTTTGATCTTCTGTACCAACAGCTCAATGAGAGCGGCCCCATACTGGCTCACAAGTGCATTGCATTCAGTCTTGAAGGCTGATGGCAGTTGATCGCATACCTTTTCAACTGCTGATATAATTTCATCCTGCAGAACAAAAAAAAACAAAAAAAACATTTTAAAAAAAATATGAAATGTTCAGGCTACAAAAAAAAAAAATCAGAAAAACTTGTATAATTAATTAAAACTACAAATAGCTTATTTAAAATTATCAAATAATTTAGGTACCTCGGTAGCATTATCCGAAAGGAATCGGTCAAGCTCGTTGACAACTAATTCACACACTGTGCAAATCGTGGACTCTTCCAATTTCCGGGGTGCTGGCTGTGCTTGACTCATTTCTATTGCAGGGACCTAAAGGAGATACATAATAGTTATTAACATATACAGGAACATAAGTGCAAGCTATAGAGGGATTCGGCGATGGGGGTCACGTGACCAAATTTGGGTGTTGGATATAAACAATCGACTGGCGCAGTGGTGTTTTACATTGAGATTGCTATTGCAGCCGTCCTTTGTTTATTGCTGTAAATATAATTATAATTCCTAGTAAACTATGCCAAATTGATTGGAAATTACACCTGAGAATTTTGCCTTAATTGTTCACTAATGCTGAAAAGGATACTGGCGGCAAACGTTGAAATTTTTTCGACAAATTAAAAGCATAGGCCCCTGCACATCTATGGCAGGGTTAGTTATGCATGATGTTCTTCACCCGCAAACTACGCTGCAATGTTAGGGCTAGCTAAGGTTTACAAAGGATCGCTTAAATTTTAAAGCACCACTTATGGGACCGAGGTTTCTGTGGTCTTTAGCAACTTTGGTTTCTAATTAGAATAAAGATATTAAAACATCTGTTTTATATGGGACCACAGAAGTGGTCTTCATTTGGATGGGTCTTTAATTTCTAAGTTAATTTATTAGTCTGATTGGTTAAAATTAATTTCATGCTTTAAAAGTTTAAAACTTACAACATTTGCCTTGGCAACAAAATTATCCTTGAATTTCGAAACTATAGATAATTAAAAAAAAGAGAAACAAATATCAAGCTGAGTCAATCACTGGAAGGATTGGATTAGACACACATATTTTTTTAAAAACATAATAGGCAGTTTTCGCCGCACGACGTTAACCTTAACGTTAACAGATGATGTCATAATTTATTCATCTTGCGTTGCGGAGTACGTTAATGTCAGGATTTTACATGCTCGACGTAGGTTAGTTATGTGTTTGAGCATGCGTATTTCGTTTTGTTTACAAAAGGAGCGCAGCAATTGCGCTGCATATTGGGTACTAACGTTAACGTGCGGTGAAAACTACCTGACAAAAATAAACCTTTGCTATTATGTTGTGCTAGAATTCGTAAAATTTCATTTTTTCCCTCTTTTTTTATCTTTAAATATAAGCCCTATGAAAATTTTTTTAGATAAGATAATAAAAGCAAGGTGATGTAAGTCAAAAGTAATTCGCAGTAGTAATGACAGTATAATAAGATAATAATATGATAATGGGAATAATTTATACAATACAGTGATGACAATATGATAATCAAAATATGATAATAACATGATAATAACAATATGATGATGATGATGACGATGATGATAATGAGCTTGAGTTATGTATGACTGTTAAAGTCGCTAAATATTGTAGTCTAAAAAAATATCCACAACTTATGAACGATTTTGAAAGTTTTCAGAACTTACTTGGTTTTGCCAAAGTCAGTGTCATCATATTTACCTATAAAATAGAAACAATCGACTGATCATTGAACAATAATTGCTGGTTCATATTTATACAACCTGACTATAAAACAAGAGCGACCGCTCACCAGTCCACGTGTTAAACTGAGATAACCTCTATTCAGCGTTTAACGCTTCGGGTATGCACCTTTCAGACGAAGCTTCTTATTATGATACTACAAAAATACCCTTGAATCACAGAGGAAATATCCTTCATGCTTATTAATAATGTACACAGTGGCATAATTTATTATATTGGGTTTTTGGCAAAGGATTCATAATTGCCATTAACTATTAATATTAAGAGAAAAAAAAAAAAGAATATAAAAAAAAAAGTCGTAAAATAAAAAAATAAATAAATAAATAAAAATGAAAATTGAATACCAAGACGCAATGCGGCTGCCGCGCATTTCCAGAGGCCCTGGGCCCAACGATTTCCAATTAAAATGAGGACAATTAAAGAATTATTATTCTTATTATCCCCCCTGGTCTTTGGATCCACAAATTGCCACAAAGCGCAACATTTTCCGCTCCTTGGGCGAACTTTTTTATACCTTGTTTAGAGAACCTGTTGCCGCCAATAATAATATAATATAATATATAAAATAATATAATAACCGCAATTAGCGCACCCACCACTATGTCTCCTGCTGCCTTGAAAATCAAAGACATGTATATTAATTCCTAATCATATAAATTTAAAACATTATTTACATTCACCAATAACATTTTATTTTTATTTTCTCCTCCGTCTAAATTCTTTCGGCGAAACTATTTGCTAAATAAGAAAATACAATTTTATTTTTATTAGTTTTCCATCCTCCTTGCTTACAATACAAAGTCAATTCTGCCATTACATAGAGTAGCACTTAGAATGTTCTTAATGGCCAAGATCCAACCAGGTACCTATCTATCATCTTAGATGGAGAGACATAAACATAGGGTAAGGTGCCTTGAACAAAGGACAAGCAAAATGCTCACAAGAGACTCGATATTGCAACTTTAGAACTTAAACCTTAATGGCTTACTCATTAGCTTAGGGTTATTAAAATAGTGTTAACATGTTCACTGCCAGGGACACGAGTTCAGGTCAGACAGAATTTACTCAGGGCACCAGCACGAGAGTTCAAGTCCAGATCTGTCTAAACATACCACTAATGTATTGCACATAAACTCGCTGTGAGTAGTCGCCAGAACTTTAACTCTTGTTTTAGAGGTTATAGGGAAGGAGAAGGACGTAACAATCTAAAAATAAATACTGTATGTTTGTTTGTGTTTCATTACAGTTGATGGGAATGATTTTCAAAATGTTGGCGCCCTATATGCCTTGGCGTATGGGATGAAATTAGGTAATTACGGCTTGGCAGTCAACATGTATATTTGGTAAAACTAATGATTGAACCTACAAGAAAATTCCCAGCAGCCCACAATTAAACTCACCATTTTCCTTTGAGACGAGCAGAAACCAAATGCTGAACAGAAGGTATCGGGTTCCTAAAAAAACATAGTTAAATAATTTTAATCTTATAACTCATTTTTTAAACATTCACCCGCCAATATTGATGATTTCAAATAAAAATAAAATTTTATTTTTTGCCGGTTAGTACACCCACAGCCACAGAAAAATAGAAATTTCAGAAAAAAATTAAATCTTTTCATTAATTTTTATTATGCCCAATGCTGCCTTGAAATCTCCAAAAATAAGAAATGTATATTTCTTCCTAATTATAAAAATTTAAAGCATTTAACTACACTGTTTATATTATCCAATAACATTGTATTTTTATTTTCTCTTCCGCCTGGATGTTTTTAGCAAAACTCTTTGCTAAATGGAAAAAACCCAAATTTTATTTTGATAACAACGCCCTGGCCACACAAGGTATAAAAAGCCTCGCCTAATCTATTATGCACTTTACGAAATCAAATGAAAATTTCTTTTGAAGTAATTAAAGCAAATAGTAAACTAACCAGCAATTCTGCTAACTTAGCAATAACTTCTGGGCCCATAGACTGCACCAACATTTTGCATTCGTCTTCGAAATCGCCCAAGGAAGTACAAAACATCTCTAGAGCTGTTAGTAATTCTTTCTGTAAGAAGTAAGCTTAACAATTTTAACCAATTAAATGCTGTTATACAAGATTTCTATTCATAAATATAATAATAGTAATAAAAACAACAGAGATAAAGAGGAGTTTCATTAAGAACTATAGAAAAAAAACAATACAAATATTTGGATTTTTTTGGTAATTAAACATTTTCTTTGCAGTACAATAAAACAGGTACAGTACTGTATAGGGATATGTCATATAATATGTTAACTTTGTGTAGGCTAGAACACTATTTGGTTTAATATAATAATTTTTTGAACTGAATGAACAGTATGGAAAACTGAACATCATGGACAACAGGCGGCCCAAGTTCGCCCTGCGGCCCTGAGAGTGATTATTTTGCGTCCCGCAAAAATGATTTAAAAACCCCAAGTGCGCAGCCCGCCAAACATCTTTGGATAGAGAACACCTTGTTTTTTATGGCCCACACCGATCATCTGTAAAAAGCAATATTAAAATTGAGAATAAAGTGGTAAAACAGCTCATGAAGGCTTTTGGAAGCACACTGGAAACATCAAATTTTGGGTGTTAAATCAAAAATTTACTTTGGCTCTCCGGCCGATTTTTATGCCCGCCCATGTCATAAACGGTAGAAGGAGGGAGGAGGAAATTGGTTTTGTGGAGTGGACTGTATCAATATTAAAAAATACTGGAAGAGCACTTCTTACACAGATATATAGTAAGATTATATTTTCTTTACCTGCATAGTTGGATCGTTGAGGTAGGAATCAATTTCAGTGAGTGCTGCTTTGCAATCTGAGCACATGTCACTTCCAGGCACCTTGAAAATATTGATAAAATATAAAATAAGTATAAAATATTGATATAAATTGTAAAAATCAACTGGAACAAAAATTTAATGAAAAAAAATTAAAAGTATAGGAAAATTTAATTAATCAAATGTACTTTATCAACTATGACACAATTATGTTTATATGGATTACTAATATTAAATTCAACAATGAATATTGAAATTAGGCATGATTCCATATAAAAAAATTAGGTAAATCAATATGATTATTAGTTATTATACTGGATCATAATTTCTTGATGGATAAGACACAAAATATAAACAGTGGCATAACTAGAAGTCTTGAAATGGATAGGGGAGGGGGGGCGTGTGAATGATTGGAGACACGAAGATGGAGTTGAGGGAGGGTGGGGCCCTCAACGATTTAAAAATAGGGAATTAAGTTGCAAAAAAAGGTGTGGTAAGGTAATTTGTAAGTAGTTGAGCATGATATTTTTGCTATGGACATTTCAATGGGGCTGCAAAGAGAGACTGGGGCACAAGCTATTTTTTGGGGGGAATCCCCCACACACACGACACTGAATATAAATACAAACACATTTTCTGTGGATAATTACTCTGATTGTATTTGTTATGCCTCCACTGCAAAACTGTATGGCGGTACAAGCTGTCTTTGGGTCAAGCTCAGAAGCAATTAAACCAAACACAAGCGATGCATAACTGTCAATCAAATTTTTACAATCATCGGCTTCACTTCCAAGAAGACTGCAAAGACTCTTTAATTCATTCGTTATCATAGCCTGGAAAAAAAAAATTTGTAATTAGCATTCAATAATTTTTAAAACCTAGTTAAACCTAGTTACTATTCAGTAAAAAAAAAAAAACTAGTATAATGCATGTAGTTAGATTTATATAGCGCTTAATAACGAAATGGTTTCGAGGTGTACAATAGCTCTTAAAGTAACTTGCTTGTTACTTACTTGCTTGTTTTTATTAATGGTCTTTCCATGTCTGAGCTCTTTGGTAAATTTGTACCAGCTACTCTGGTCTGTCCACAACAGTATGATTTTAAAAGTGCCATGAAAAGCTTAGGGAGTAGAGCAGAGTGAATTCACTGCATTGGCGCCAATGATCATACGACTGTCGGCCGACGAAACACTGGGAGCATGATGAAATTAAATCTTTCAAAATGACCTGTTGCGTTCATTTTGTCGCGTCACATTCTTTGTGGAATTTAATCTTCCATTTTTTTTAATTTTCATCTTCATCCCGTTGACCGTCATGATGATCGTGTGCGCTACAAAGCATACTACTTATATTTTTGTCAATTATTACTCTTGAATGTTTATATGGCAAGTTAAAAAATAATAATTATTATATGCTTTCAGTTCATCATGAGTCCTATATGCTACAAATCTCAATTGATGCTATTAATGTTTTTTAATTCAATGACCAAGTCGTCGCATCGAACGACGGGAGTTCCAGGCCTGTCCGACATGAAACATAGGTTCTCAAAGCCCCACTCCTTGTTTCCATCACCTACTGTCATCCTGGGTAGGATATACAGTGATATAAGAACAACATACCTGAACAGTTGTGTTTTCTAAAAGTGTCTGAACATCACCGAAGAAAGCCTCACAATCAGCACACATATCTCCAGTCTAAAAAAGAAAAAAACATTTTTAAAATTGCTATTTAAGATTTATAAACCAATATGTCATCAACATAACAGATGAAAGAGTTGTTTGTTATTTTAAATTTGTCATTTAATAGCACCTTTGATTTAGGAATTACAAAGCAAATTTGCTTTCTCTAGTCATTAGGTCCACTTGCTGCCATATTGGAACAGTAGCAGGCAACCCCACCAGCTACCCATTTATACTCCTCTCCTGGGTAGAAAGAAGCATTACACAGAAAGTGCCTTGCTCAAGAAAAAAAGCGAAATGCACAGCGAGGAATTGAAACCTCGGCCTTGAGGTTGCGAAATCAAACCGTTCCAGCTGCGCCAAACAAATTTCCAAAATTGGCAAGTAACGTAAATGCCAAATCTGAGGACTAATGATTATGATAATGATGATAATGATAACACAAGTTTTGATTAAACAAAGTTATAATTCAGATTGCCTGTAGGAAATATATAAAGCGATCAAAACTTTTCTTTCATGATAAAATAAAATACGGAAAACAATAAAAAAATTAAAAAAAACAACAAAATAATATTAAAAAACGTCAAAAACCAGACACATCCTCTGCCACAATCGTCAGTTGATGTTATTCCATAAAAACCAATGTGACAATGCATTATAACTTTTTATATCTGATTGAAAATTGCATGTTATAATTTCAATCCTTACCAATTTCAGTTTCCCAGAAGCAGAACAAAAGCCAATATCATTGCATATGGTGTCTGCATCCTGAAAAAATTTTTTACAAAAATTTAAAAAACTCATAAATAAAACTTATAATAAGTAAACTTTAATCCTACCATGTTTATTGTATACATGTGAACTGGCAATTAACACTTTTTTTAAAGACCAAAGACAAAACATTTACTCAAAAATAAGATCCCAGCCGGAGTGTGGCTACTATTTGGCATTTATTTTTTTCTCTTTTTTTTTGGCACTCGCAAGTCAGCGGCGGTAGGTCTAATTACATATTAATTTGTCCTTTCTAGCACAGGAATCGGCATAGGTTTATAATAATAATAGTAAATAATAATAATATCTCAAATTGATATGCCGCCAATTCCAAACAAGATCAAAGGCGCAACGCATGTGAAAAGCCACGGGAAAACAAATAGGTCTTGAGCTGTGACTTTAAAGTTGCAAATAGAGATGGAAGAAGTTATGTAATTTGGAAGCTGGTTCCAGAAATAGGCAAAAGCTAAAAAAAAAGAACATTGACCGTAGGTTTTGGTACTTCATTTGGAGAAAGAAAGAAGGATTTGAGAGGATGATCGGAGACGGCTAGATGGAGTATATCGGGAAATCATTGAACGTAAATATGAAGGTTCATTCAGATGGAGAGCTTTAAAGGTCAGAACAAGTAATTTAAATGCAACACATTGCCTGATTGGCAGCCAATGAAGATCACGCAGTAAAGTAGTGACATGATCATACTTCTGATCACCGGTACATATACGGGCAGCAGTGTTTTGAATGCGTTGGAAACACTTGAGCAATTCCTGGGGAACGCCAGCTAATACGTAATTGCAAAAGTCTAGCCGAGATGATATCCGTGAATGAACCAGTATTTCAGCCGATTTGGTGTTAAGAAACGTCCTATTTTTCCAATGTAGTAATTAGCAGACATGCATATAGAGCTAACATGTTCCTCAAAAGTAAGGTGTTGGTTAAAAATAACACCAAGGTTATATATTGTAGGCTTACTAAATAGAGCCAATTGCATGACCTTTCCACCCCTCCCCAAATAAGCAAGACTGATCTTTCCTATCTGCAGGTTATGATGCAATGACGGGTATTCCATAATTACCCTAAACCGGATTTACTCTTATGAGTAGAGACGACGGGAGAGTGACTAGCTGCCCGCAAGCAGGCAGCAGACACAAAAATTACATTACTACAGAATATGAATATCAAAGTATTAAAACACTGACAAAAATTTAATGAAAATATTGACTATAGCTCATTTTGTTATTTTCTGAATAATATTATCTCACCAGTGTAAAACATTTCATGCAAACAACTATAATGTATTCTTTAACTAAATTCAAATGTTTTCAATTTTTCCTTCATTACTTCACACTGCTAATAAAGGAATACTATCTTTCTGTTTCACTGTTTTGACTTACCAGTGCTGAAACAACTAAATTGATGACAAGACTGCCATATTGGTCAACGTAAGAGGAGCATTGGTCGGCAAATGATCCTAGATCTGCGCATACACTCTTCAATGCCTTTATAATGATGTCCTAAACATTAAGAAATAAAAGAGACATTAAAAAAACTAATCATATAAATACACTTTGTATGCAAAAAATTATATATACGCAGAAATGCTGGTTTTTAAAATTTAGTGAACCACAACGGTAGTACATGGCCTTCTTATTATTCCATGGTAGAATTCCGAGTCTTGGGTGGATGGGTGCATATACAATAGGTCACCAACAATTAAAGCCGGGTACCCACTGAGCCCGCAAGTCGTTGGCTGTCGCAATTCTATGGAAAACGCAGCGCAACGATGTGCGCGTAACAGATTGATTTTAACAACGTTCTGTTCAGATTGCCACCGGCAATCCGCAGACGGTGTCGTATAGTCCAGCGTTCACAGGGAGCAGAGTTGGACGAACAACGCAGCGAATGCCGTGCTTATAGGCCAGTTTATACTTGCAACGATAACGTTAATAATAAAAAGCTAAAAAGCAATTGTTCATATAAAAAAGAAATAAAAGTTTTTATACTAGGATGATTCGATGATGATTTATCGTGTATACAATAACATAAATTATGTTACTACTAGGATTTTATCGTTTTTCCATGATTATGACGTCCTTTGAATTGATTTGTCAAAGTATTGTTTTATTGTACAGTATACACGATAAATTGTCATTAAATCACCTTAGTATAAAAATTTCTATTTCTTTTATTTTCTATATAAGCAACTGCTTTTTATCATTATCATTGCAAGTATAAACAGGAGTTTAATGTTTCACATTCGTACAGTGGATTAGAATATTTAAATCGGTTAACAATTGATGTTCTACTCAACTAAGCCTTGTTGAATAGAACATCCAATCTTTCACCTCATAAAATTTTCTACCCTATTGCACTCATAAACATTCATTTATTTATATACTATTTATTTAAATTTTTTCCAGAATATTTTTGAGGCTTTAAAAAATAAAAGTTGAGATTTAAAACGAACCTGATTAGTAGAATTCATAAGCACGGTCTTAACATCAGTAAAGAAATTCTTACAATCAGTGCACATGTCCTAAAAAATATATCAAAAAATTGTCTAGTGGAATTAAGAATTCTGTATATAATATAATAATATTCATGAAATTCCTTCTTCTTTACAATTATGGTATAATTGATTCTTTAAATGCAATGTTATGTTGTTTGTTTCAAATACTGTAGCTATGGCTCAATTCCCATTTATTTAAAATATAATGTCTCACAGTTGTTCACTCTTTATAAAGTAGATTGCACATTAGCTATCGTTTCACTGAAGATGGTGAAAGATTTGCCAAAAGTCTACTAGGCCCTGCCTTTATGGTATGGTATGATTGAAGTAGAAGAATTAGAAGTATGGTATTGAGCTTAAGAATTATTGTGGTATTCTTAATATTTATTTGTTGTCTGCTGCTACACAAATAATATAATAAAATATAATATGTGTAGCAGCAGATAATATAATAAAATATAACATAATATACATTATACTATATTTTATTATATTATCTGCTGCTACACAAATATAATAAAATATAATATAATGCATAATATATATATATAATATTCCCTTCAATATAATATACAGTAATATATAATATATATAATATAATACATTTTATATATTTCTGTGATTACTCCAGAAACTGACAAAAATAGGGCTAATATAATAATTAAACAATAAAAACAGTGATAATTTCAACAATATGAAAAAAAAATTTGAAATAAGCAGTAACTGTAAAGTATGCGATCTACTAGAAATTCCAGAAAACTAGGTCCAAATCATCCATAAAAATAGTTTATTAGCATATACACCATCACATAATTAAAAGGTCAATTGCAATGAAAATTCAATCATGAGTAGCTAAAATCTTACAGCATCAACCAGAGCCACTTCATTAGTCTTCAGCTCTTCAACTTGTTTACTGCTTGGGCAGAAGCCAATGGCTGGGCACGCTGTATTGGGATCCTGTAAGAAAAAGCCAATTAAAAGATAAATCAAAATTTCTAAATATTCATGAAAACAAGACAATATTCTCATGTTATTACTGAGTCTGTTAAGCCTCCTCAGTGTCACTATCGACTTTGTAGGTTTGCACAGTTTTTTAACCATACCGACGGTGAGCTTGGCCGGTGAACATCCTTCATGGCGGTAATACGAAGCCAAAGATGAACAGGGCTCCGGGGGAAAAGAGCCGAAATATCCTATTTACTTCTTTACTATATTACTACCTCGACTGACACTAACAATTGTAATAGAGGGTCGGAATGGCTAAAAAAACAGTGCAAACCTACAACATGTAAACAAGCATCTATCGCTAAGAATGAATATTCATGTAAAAAATAAGAGTGAGATGGCAGGAGCCTGGAAAATCCTATCTCAATTATCGTATGATATTCACATACCTAATAATAACATCAACTATTTTCAACAAAATATTATTAGATACACTGGTCCTATATTTTAAATCATGGTTGACGTTTTTGATGTCCTGCGTGTAAAACTAACCAGAAGAGAAATTCGCTCGTGCCCGTGGCCACTCAACTTTTAAACAATAACCAATTAAAATTGTGAGTGATTTTATTGTATCTTTATGATGTAATGTTTTTAAATTTTAACCTTTTCAAGCTCTGTAAACCAGATCCTTATTGAATTGCCCCATGTGGGATGAATAAACATATACTGTATTGTATGCTGTTTTACCACTCCCAAGTTTAAACTCGGTCAGTGTTAGGACTTTACTACTCCCTGAAACTGCATTCTCTGTTGTCATGTATGTGTGTGTATGTATGTATGTGTGTATGTATTGTGTCTCTGTGTGTATTTGTGAGTTTGTGTTTATGTCTGCCCAACAAGAGATTTTTTTTAAACATCTTCTCAGGCAGTGCCTTCTTCCTGTTGATTTTTCTTTACTTTTGTCTCGTAAGTAAATTTCCCGTACGATCAAAAATCGAAAGAATACTGGGTTCAGTTTACAGGGATTCGTGCTTTGTACAGGTCACTCCATTCATTGGAAAAAAACCTTAATGGAGAAAGCATACCTGCCATAACCAGCCATAGTAGCATAGGTCAAAACATGGCTGGATGATTGCAAGGGAAAGCCCTGAATGCTTGGTATAATACTTACCATGTAGCCAGCCAGCTGTGTTAGGACACTCGGTAGGAAACCCTGAATGGCTATCTTGCATTCCTCTTGGTACTGACCGAGGTAGTTGCAAACTGCTAGCACATCTTGTACAATCTCATTCTGTGAGATAATGATAAAAGGAATATTATGAAATATAACTGAACATATTGAAAAATTGTATATCAAAAGAAAATTGCCATTTTCTTTTAATATACTCCTGATACTGATATTCTTTCAAAAAACCAAAGTATCTTTAATTATAGGGAGGTTTCGCCACACACTGCTAACCTGTAGAAAACGTGTTGATGTCATTAATTGATGCGCATCCTTGACCAGCTTCAACATCCATTGCACCCACACGTACGCTACGTGTGGAAATGTGTTTGACGACATATGCAAGCAACATTTTTAACAAGGTATTTTGATTGTGTATTTTAATACCAAATTAAAATAGGTTTAAGTACACAAACTTGCTTTCATCCTTTCCAGATATGCCATTTGAAATCATATTTGTTCCCATATGGGAGATGAATCCTCTTTGACTTTAACAATTTGTTTTATGCACAGCAAGAACACTGTATCAATATAATTATTGAAACAAAACAAAGAGAAAACATACAAGAAATGATATATATATTGGGATTTCATGTGCAGATATAGGGC